TAGCACTCAGTTCTAACATGAATATCGTTGTTTTTCTTACTCCGCCGTGAGTTAAGCCTAGTTAGCACTCAGTTCTAACATGAACATCTTTGCTTTTTCTTACTCCACCGTGACTTAAGCCTAGTTAGCACTCAGTTCTAACATAAACAAAATTACTTTTTCTTTCATCGACGTGAGTTAAGCCTACTTAACTTTCAGTTCTAACATGAACATCGTTGTTGTTTTTTTCTTCCTCCGACGTGAGTTAAGCCTACTTAGCGCTCTAGTTTACAGCTCCACCTTATTGTGGATCACGTCTACAATATACGCTTTCCCACTTAACTAAATAATACAAAATTCATAAAATAGCCAAACATGCAAGATAACAAACTGAAAGTTAATTATATATTCAAGATAGAGAATCTAGAAAAAAAAAATGTTTGCTCCGGATATTTTAAGTCCCTTCGATGTAATAAGGGTACATGTAAGATAGTGTAAAGATTATATCAATAAAAACATAAGCTAAGAAAATCTGCTGATTTCTGAATATAATATAATAAACAATCAGCGAAGTGGATCAACTTTACACTAAGTTCTTTATGTTCATACTGAACGGCAAACATATTCTAATTAAGAACTATGTGTTTACCAAATTGGTATGATAGAGAACAAGAACTTCTAATCACTCAGAGTCCAGCTTTAAGTTGATTATACAGTGTACGTTCCAATATTAATCATTAGTTTTACTTGTTCGCTCTGTTTAACTTCAGGAAATTTGTACGGAAGTTTTAGCACCGTTTAGAGTTCCAAACAACTCGAACCTCATTTTCTGAACCTTTAGATGCTAGATATTAAAACGGTCATTCTAATCAAACTCAATTTCCTTAATCTTATGTAGTACTTAATGGATTACTTCTGGATCATGGCAGAATCCAACAAAGCGCTTCTACATATATTGTTGAACAAAATTAAACGTTGTGTGATGTAACCACCAGAACCAAAACCAATCAAACATTGTATGATGTAACAAGTAGAACCTGAAATAAACATATGTTGTGTGATATAACCAACAAAACCAGAAACAATCAAATATAGTATGACGTAACAAGCAGAACCTGAAATAATTAAATGTTGTGTGATGTAACAAGCAGAACTTGAAATAATTAAACGTTGTGTGATGTAACCAATAAAACCAGAAACAATCAAATATAGTATGACGTAACAAGCAGAACCTGAAATAATTAAACGTTGTGTGATGTAACAAGCAGAACTTGAAATAATTAAACGTTGTGTGATGTAACCAATAAAACCAGAAACAATCAAATATAGTATGACGTAACAAGCAGAACCTGAAATAATTAAACGTTGTGTGATGTAACCAATAAAACCAGAAACAATCAAATATAGTATGACGTAACAAGCAGAACCTGAAATAATTAAACGTTGTGTGATGTAACCAACAGAACCAGAAACAATCAAATATAGTATGACGTAACAAGCAGAACCTGAAATAATTAAACGTTGTGTGATGTAACCAACAAAACCAGAAACAATCAAACATTGTATGATGTAACAAACAGAACCTGAAATAATTAAACGTTGTGTGATGTAACCAAAAACAATCAAACATAGTATGATGTAACAAGTAGAACCTGAAATAATTAAATGTTGTGTGATGTAACCAATAAAACCAGAAACAATCAAACATTTTATGACGTAACAAGTAGAACCTGAAATAATTAAACGTTGTGTGATGTAATGAACAACACCAAAAACAATGAAACATAGTATGATGTAACAAGTAGAACCTGAAATAATTAAATGTTGTGTGATGTAACCAACAAAACTAGAAACAACTAAACGGTATGTGAAGTAACCATCAAAACAGTAAACAATTAAACGTTCAGTTTTTTTTTCTGCTTTATTGTTTTTGTTTAGCAATCTTAAAGATAAATCCAAGTTCGTTGTAAGAAGTCCTACAGATCTTTCATTGTTTTTTTTCTTTAGTATTTCGCGCTAGCCGTCCCTAATTTACCAGTGATAGACTAGATGGAAGACAACTAGTAAACACCACCCACCGCCAACACTTAGGGTCCTCTTTTACCAACGAATTGACCGACATGTGTGTGCGTGTGTTGTTGTTGTTGTTTTAGAGCAAAGCCACAATATGCTATCATCTGTGTCTCCGCGAAAAATTAAACCCCGGATTCTAGCGTTGTAAGTCCGTAAATTTACCACTGTCACACCAAGGAACAATTAACTGTGCAACAAAAATATTTTTCTTCCACTAGATGGCACCACATTATTAGCATTACAACAAAATTATTTTTCTTCCACTAGATGGCACTACATTATTAGCATTACAACAAAAATATTTTTCTTCCACTAGATGGCACCACATTATTAGCATTACAACAAAAATATTTTTCTTCCATTAGATGGCACCACGTAATTAAGGCTGCACCCATAGCATTGTTCTTCCACTAGATGGCACCACACTACTAACATTGCACGAAAATTTTGCTATATCACTAGATGGTATAGTGCTACTAATATTGCAACTAAAATATCAACTTTTGTGTGAAGATTCATGTCTTCAACCGGAAATATTTAGCACATTTTAATATATAAGTCAATGTTGAAAACTATTTCTCGTTATTTAGATATTTATCGTCTATTTTTGAACAAACTCTCGGTTTCTAATGTAAGAATGAGAGAATTTTTATATTCATGAGTCAAACGTTACGAGATATACGATCACCCGCGAAGTGTATTGAAAGAGACTTAATGACTTTTGAGAACTTGACACATAGAAAACAATGGGAAGGTTTTACCAGTTGAATAAATACATGTGTCACGACGTTCGACTCACTTGAATAACATGTTTTTAATCCTTATAAAAGCGTTTTGGCCTTCATTAGCGTACTTGTGTTTCCTTTCTCATTAATCTATTGCCAACTCTCGTCTCTCTTCACTAAGGGTTTTTGGTGGCGCTCGATTCGCAATATGCAGGTTTCGGGATCGAAATCCGTCACTGAACATGCTCGCTCTTTTAGCAGTGAGAACATTATAATGGTACGGTCAATTCCACTATTTGTTGGCAAAGATTTGGTGGTGAGTGCTACTTATTAGTTCCCTTTAACTTATCACTTCAAACTTAGGGACAGCCACTTCTCGAGTGTCCTCCACTAATCGAATATTGTCCAGAAAAATGTCGAAAAAGTATCTCAGCCAAAGATCCTGTTCTCTGCGCTATGGCAATAC